GGACCCCCGTAGTTAATTGACAAGGGTCGGACTCAGACCCTCTCCAAGTCACCCTGTAGGTACGGTCTTTGAGGTATGAGGTGAGGAGGGAAAGTGCAGAGCCTGAAACTCCAAGTTTTTGGAGAGTGCGAAGGAGGATCTGATGATTCACCGTGTCGAATGCAGCAGACAGGTCCAACAGGATGATGACAGAGGAGAGGGATGCAGTTTTGGCAGTGTGCAGTTATTACACTGCAGCACATATCCATGTATAGACTGAAGTCTGGGTTTAATGATGCTGACATTTGGGTAAAACGCTTAGCTGCTACATTAAATTGCCATGAACATCACTGTTAGAGACCCGTATCTGCACCAATATAAACCCACTATTAGATGAACTGGCTTTTTTCAACTCTTGTATTGGGAGCTCTCTAGGTCGTCCTCAGACGAGCCCTCCATCGTTGCTTCCAGTCATCCCGGTTCTCCATACATATGGCCATGCAATGCTAGAGTTCAGAGGGACAGCGACATACTTTGTAGGATTTAGCGTTGGAGGCGGGGCCTCGTTCGTCCCTATGAAAGCTGCTCGGCGGCGCATGAAGCCAAAATGGCGGAAGTGGAGAGGGGAAGGATTTGACTTTTAGCGCTTTATAAAACTTTTAGGTCATAATGATTTAAAATAAGAGCTGTTCAACTCTTTGTCCTGACAACATAAAAAAATAATGATCTGCTGATTTACAGACGTCTCGTTCCCAATGTCAGCCGATGGGAACACGTTTTTTTGGGCCCAAATGACATCATGAACTGACACGATGTGAAGTACTACCGTTCGGGAACTACGACCAATTAGCATCAATGCCTGCATCACTTCCCATGGGGCTGGTACGGCAGTCTTTTACCTTCTGGAATAGGCCTCAGTGGGTTTTACGGCCATGTGGCGATGTCTCTCTCTCTTACTGGGAAGATGGATGTCGGGGAGTGTGTGTTTGTTTGTGGTTGCAGTGCAAGTGCAAATCATTTCACAATGTGTGTGCATACAGACATGCATGTGTGTTTATGTGCACCGTGACGAATCATTAAACCGGGTGCAATGTGATTAAATGACCAGCACAGTGATTCAGTGGTCCCCATCTGTTTAACAAAGCAGTGTTCCTCTGGGACTCTCACTCTGTCTCTGTGGAAAACATTTATAGCAGCGCAGGAAAATGTGCCTTCATTCAATTTTGCGCTGACAATCTGTGTGTAATTAGAGCCAGATGCACTAATGTGTTCGGCACCAACCTGTGTTCTGGAGAGCTGCGCATAAAGGGTCCTTGAAAGGGTCATAAAGGGGCTTGGTGTGGTCCTACCATACTAAAGCAACATCTCAGTACAAAAGCAACAACTGGGACTACCTAAATAGCTGCATTTTGACAGTTAAGGTGCCATTTAGTAATACGTCTAAACATTCACTCTGTCACCATGCTACTAAAAGGTTTACAGAAATCCAACTATTTTTGGACAGCAATGTGTTAAAATGTTAAAAATGAACATTCTGGATCCAACTTTTTGGTCCATAAAACCAACAGAATTTGCCATAATCCGCATGCAGACTGTGCAATGCATATTGAATACACAGTAATGGTTAAACATTGCTTGACCAGCAGCAGCCACTTATAGGTGACACAAGTACTTCAAAGTGATTGTTTAGTTATCTGCATCTTTCCTGCAAAGCTATCATGAATATTTAAACCAATGCTAATCTAAAAGCACGAGTCCCCCAACAGGTGGTTTGGCAACAAGTATCATTGTGAGGCTCTCTTTGGGTCCGTGCATACCCACTGCAGGTTCATTATCAGGCTATTACGAGCCCATTTAAGGACACACCGGGGGCTTTTAAGAACACAAACACCAGGGTGGTTACTAGAATAAAAAAAGAAGCTGCTCACTGTTCCAACAGTGGAAAGACAGCAGGAAAAAACAAGCACATCTGCATCCGTTAAGATCAGAGTCAGTGAGCCAAGAAGAAGGGAAACACAAGCAGGGGATGGCTTAGGCACATTTCAACTAATGGTGTTGTGTGTGCTTTTGTACATGTGGAACAGAGGGTAAAGCATTTGAAGCAGCTCTGTATAATTCTTACACGTTGATTTAATTAGAGGAGGAACAACAACGTCAGCCGGCATTTCATTGAGCCTGTGTGCCAGTGCACTGAATCGGTTTGTGTGTGACCGTGTGAGCGCCACAGATATAAAACAATACAAGAAACAATGTTATGAACTAACTTAGCAGAGTGGTTGGCATTGATTATGTTTTTCTTGTAGGAAGACTCGGAAGTTAGCAAGGGTTCCCTCAACAAAATCCAATGTCATTTTTCCTTTGAATTATGAAAATGATAGCGAAACATTTGTATTTTTGGTTGATTCTAGAGACAGTCACATGGCAAGGTATTAATATGATAATATGAAATAAGTGTGATTGTGTGTCTGTACTTGCACAGCGTCCACTAATGGACCGCTTCTCCTTTCTTCAGGACACAGTCAGGGTGATAATGACTCAGGGACCACACACTGCAGGGCTGTGTGAAACGGACAGCATGCATGTGTTGCTTCTGTGCGTGCATATTGTGGTCTGGCGTGCATTTTAAAGTGTGCGGTCAGCAGTGAACAGAACAAGCTGACCCAGGGCTATTTCATATTTTACAATTTCCCTCTCTCTCTCTCTCCGGCTGCATGTTGTGCCTTTTAACTCTTTGATTCTCCTCCTGCTCTTTTCTTTCTCTTGATCTCCGTCTCTCTCTGGTTCCATCTCTTTGATAGTCTTTCTCTCTTCTCTTCTTCCCGTCTCTTTTCACAGGCTCAAATCTGACTTTCTCTTTAAAAGCCTCTGGAGGTTTCACAGGCATATTACCAATACAAGGGAACTTTAAACAACAAAAGCTATTAACAAAAACAAAATGGTACTTTGAAAGCTATGTGTGTTGATACGTAGTCCTAACAAATTCTAATTCAGGAGGGAAGGTTGGAAATATGACCCGTGTGACCAGAACATCAGAGCAGGTCTTTACCTTTGAAGTTATAGTGTGTGTCTGTCCTTGATATGTGTGTATGCGTTATTATCTTCTGCAATAGATGTGTGTATAATCTGTTTACCTTGGGAATGAATGAGTGTCTAGCTGCTGGCGGTCATTCAGTCAAATCCCTGTGCTTTGCATCCTGTGTGTGATTTATGCTGTCGTCACTGCAACACTTTGCATGATGGGAAAGCTGACATTCGCATCTGACACACGGCATCACCTGTCACACAGCCGACACACACCGTTGTAATTACTTTCACCTTTTGCCATTCACTCTTCCCTTGTTGTAGGAGCACCGTGTGTGTGTGTGTGTGTGTGTGTGTGTGTGTGTG